GCGGGGTCAGGGCGGGGAGTTGGGTGGAAGTGGAGAGGTCAGGAGAATGGGGAGGTATCCTCCTGGAGAGTCCCCCCTCACCCGCCCCCCCTCGTCTTTCTTCTTACCCCTCCCCCAGAGACAGTGCGCACAGCCACCCCCTTCCCCATGGTCAGTCTCTTCCTCGTGTTCACCGCCTTCGTCATCAGCAACATCGGCCACATCCGCCCACAGAGGACCATTCTGGCCTTCGTTTCTGGCATCTTCTTCATCCTATCGGGTAAGCCCAAGGAAAAGACTTACAGGCCGTGGGACTGTTTTAGGTTCCAGGAACCTGGGGTTCCTCTTCCAATAGGAAAGCCACTTCCTTGCTGTGTAATCCTGGAGGAGTTGCAGAACCTCTCTGAGCCCCACTTCCCTCCTCTGTGAAATGGAGCTAGCCGCCAAATCACAGCGAATGCCTGTTGGGTGCTAATTAGGTGCCAGGCTCTGTTCTGATACTCACAACAACCCTGTGAGGTAAATGCTATTAATAGCCCCATTTTACAGATATGGAAACAAACACTCAGAGAAATGAAGTCATTTTCTTAGGGCCATACAACCAGTGAGAGGCAGAGAAGGGATTCAAGCTCACGCATTTCGCCTCCAGAGGCTGTATTTTTAACCACTCCTGATATTTGAGCAATTAACAGATTACAAGGCTCTTTATGTTCTGTGCATCATTTTACTTGAACATTTTTCAACCAGAAAAGTTGAAAGAACCCTGTGCCCACCACTTACAGTCGACCATTACCATACCACAAGATTTGCTTTATCCTGTATCTGTCCATCTGTCTCTCTACCCATCCATCAGTCTATCTTACTATCATTTTAAAATGCATTTCCAAGTGAGTTGCAGGCATCAGTACACTTTGCCCTCAATTCTTCACCATGCGTGTCATTAGCTAGAGTTCAGTGTTTGTTTATAGTTCTTGTTTCTTTTGAGATTCAGGGTTCTTTTGCATGAGTGATCTCATAACCTTCTCATAAGATCTCTGCCCGGGAGTTATTATTAGCACTCATTTGATAAAATGGGGATACCGAGGCCTGCAATTGTGCAGGGAGTTGCCTAAGATACCAACGTAATGCTGGCTCCCCAGGGACCCAAGTGTCCTGAGCTCCAGAGTAGAGCTGTTTCTGAAGTGCTACCCTCCTCCAAATTTCAGCTCAGTCCAGTCCAATTTGGTCCAACTCAGCTCAGGTCAGCCCAGATCACCTCAGCTCTGACACACTTAACTCCATCAGTCTGGCCCAACTAACCCCAATCTATTCTGGCTCATTTCTTCAGTTCAATTCGAATTAATTCAACGTGATTTAATTAAACTCCATTCGGGCCCTTTTAATTCAGTTGATACTTTATGAACAAACCCCGCTGTTTGTCTCGTTTACATTCTGCCCCTTTGGGCCCGCATTCGGCTGCCTCTTTTGAGTTGGCTCTGCAAATAATTGAAGATAGATCTTCAAATATCCTCTCCCCCAGTCTCCTCCCCTTTCCTCACCCAGCTTTCTCCAGGCTAAACCTCCCCCGTGTTTCCAACGTAACCTGACGAGACCTTTTCCCAGGGAAACCAGGGTGCAACCTCTGTGCAAATTTGAATCACAGCATGTAGAGCCAGACACAGAGCTAAAATAAGACACGTAGAATATCTCCATCCCAGAGTGTCAGATGGAAAAATAGTGGCCTAGAGAGACAGAAAGTGGGGCAAGGGTAAGGAGCATGGGAACGTTTATTCAACCCACCTGAAACATTAGAAGACGGAAAATCCCGTTGTTCTTGGTTCACAGAAGTTGAAACAAAAGAGGTGACATAGCTGGTAAGTGACAGCGCTGGCATTAGAACCGAGGATATTCTCTTCCCAAAAGCCATGCTCATAGACCTGATTTGCATCAGGACCTGACTTCCCAAGGTCAAGCTGAGGATAAATCGGGCTGGAAGTCAGGCCTCTGATGTAATAATAGAGTAATGGGGGGGGATTGAACCCCACTTCCTGAACTTCATTTCATAGACTATGACCTATGCACCCCACCCAAAGTATCCAGTTGTGTGCTTTACAGGTTGTAGGGTGTAGTGGCTCAAGGCATGTGCTCCTGGGAACCTAGAAAGACCTGGGTTAAAATCCTACCACTTACTCAGTGTGTGAGTTACAGCCTTCCTTTCTGGAGCTGTTGAGAGGACCAATCTTGTTCAGGGGTCAGCACACTTTTTGCTTAGGGAAAAACAGTAAATATTTCAGGCTTTGTGAGCCATAGGGTTGGAGTGCCAAAGCAACCAGAGGGGAAGCAATGGGCCTGGCTGTGTTCCATTCATCCTATTTATGGACCCTGAAATTTGAATTCAGTGTAATTTTCATGGGTTATGAAATATCCTTCTTCTTTTGTTTTTTTTTTTCCCCACCAGTAAAAAAATGTAAAAACCACACTTAGCTCGCAAACCATACAGAGAGAGGCAGCAGGACAAATAGTAGTTTTCTGACCCCTGCTCTAGATCACGGATGTGAAGGGCCAACCCAGTGCCTGGTCTATAGCAGTAAGTATTCAACACGTGGTAATTTTAAATAAATACATACACACATACATTCATAAATAGCAGTAGTGGCAACGACAACCGTTATAATAAACACTTTATTGAGTGCCATGGTTTGGGGAAGTTCTAAGTGCTTTGTGCAAGTTAAGTTATTTCTTTTTCTTCCCCTCATAAGGCAGATGCTATTATTATTCCCATTTTCCACTCGAGGACACCGAAGCACTCAGAAGTTAAGTTGCTCCATAGTGGAAAAAGGATTCCAACCCAGAGTTTCACCCTGGCACTCTGCTGCCCTACCACAGTTAAAAATCATAAAGACAAAGGAGATTACAAGAGAGGAAAGGGGGACTTCCCTGGTGGTCAGTGGTTAAGACTCTGCAGTTCCACCGCAGGGGGCACGGGTTCGATCCCTGGTCTGGGAACTAGATCCTGCATATGCTCCGTGATGGGGCCAAAAAAAAAAAGGGGAAAGAATGGAAATAGTACCAACAATATCTTAGATCTCGGAATGGAATGATCTAGTCCAACCACCTCATGCTCCCAATGAGGAAAGTGAGACTTAGACAGAGACAAGAGTTGCCCGAGGTCGGGTAGATGGTGAAGTTGGCCTTCAATTTTGGAGAAAGTGGTGAGAGGGCTGGGGCAGGAAAGGGATAGGGTCACACCTGGACGTTAAAGATCCCTCAGGGACTTGTGTTTGGAATGCACTAGAAGGAAAGAGACTGGAATTGGGCAAACAGAGGAGGAGGCTTATGCATTGGTCCGGGCAATAGCAGATAAGGTTTGAGCTGGGAGGGGGTGTGGAAGGATAAAGGTGACTGGATGGCTTTGAGAGAGAAGGATATTGACAGAAGAATCAATAGAACCAGATGACTGACTGGATATGGTTGGTGAGAGAAGAGGAGGAGGCTGGAGTGACATTGATTTTCTTTTTCCAGGTCATAAGAGGCATGCTTCCCATGCATGGCTCATATTAACCCCTGATCCTCAATCATGCTCTGTGCATCTGCTCATTCATTCATTCACTCATCAAACATTTACAGAGACATCTTACATGCCACGCCCTGTGCTGGGCGCTGGTGACATACTGAATCTTTTTTTTTTTTAATGTGGTGAAAGTCACATAATATAAAACATACTATTTTAACCATATTTAACTGTGCAGTTCAGTGGCACTAAGTACATTCACATTGGTGTGCAGCTCTCACCATCATCCATCTCCCCAAATTTTCACCTTCCTAAACTGAAACTCTGTCCCCATTAAACAATAACTCTCCATTCCCCCTCCCCAACCCCTGCCTGGCCCCTGGCATCAACCAATGCACTTTCTGACTCTATGAATTTGACTATTCTAGGTACCTCGTATAAGTGGAATCAAACAGTATTTGTCTGCACCTAATGTATATTGGAATGCATGGCAGTCTGCAGGCAGTCAGCCACAAAACGGCTCCCAGCTACATGTGTGTCAGTGCTTGTCACACAACACTTAAATCCCTTTAATGGATTTCCATTGCACTTAGAATACATCCCAACTCCTCGTGCTGGCTTACAAGGTCTTCCGTGATTTGGCCACTGTTCAGACCTCTGGCCTCATTACCTAACTCACTAACACTCTCTCAATTGCTTGTCACTTCAGCTGCACTGGCCTCAGTCTATTCCTCAAAAATGATCATCTCAACCTCACTTTTACACTCATGAGCCCTCCATGTTTGGAAGTCTCTTCCCCCTAATTCTCAAAGACTCCAACTTTCCCTCTTCAGAGTTTCTTTCTCTGACAATGGTACCCCATGTTGCTTTGTACTATCCATCACATTCCCTATTTTATATTTGTTTCATAGCACTTATTGCTATCGTCATCTTCATTTTCTGTCTCCTTCTACTGGAACGTAAACTCCAAAAGGCAGGAACATGTTCTTGCTTGTATCTTCAGAGCCTAGATGAGTCGCTGGCACAAAGTCCACAATGAAATATTTGTAGAAGGGACGCATGGTAAAGACAGCTCAGGGCATTCTGGGAAAAGCAAAGATGCATTAAGCTGACACAATAAGGTGGTCGGAAGGGTGGGAACGACCACAACTTCAAGAGCAGGTGGCATCTAAATTGACGATGCAGAAAGGGCGAGGGGAAGTTCTTCACGTGAAGAGAGAAAAGTGCCTTGTACAGAGATGGAATTCACAGCATGTGTTAAGACCCTAGAAAGCAGCTAAGACAGGTAGCCCGCTCTGGAGCTCTCCGTGGTCCTGAAACTCTTTGTTCTAAAGCAGCTTGTGCCTATTCAGCTTGGAATGTAGGTGATTCTTGCCTACTGTGCACTAAGTATTCTGAAGCAGATGTAATGGAGGGGGGAGGGAGAGAGTTGGATTACCGAGCAGGGAAGGGGGAAGGGAGAGAGAAAAAGGGAGAAGGAGATAAAAGGGAAAAGAACGTTATTTTTTAGAGAACCAGAGCCACTGTAAAGTGACCAGGAAGGAGAAAGAATGACAAGAATAACTTACCTTTTGACGTTGCTTTTAGATAACTTCCAATTACTAAAAACAACAACAAGGGTGAAAAACAACAACAAAGAGCTCTTTCTCTTTGTTTCTTTTCTTTTCTTTTCTTTTTTCTTATTTTTCTTCTCTTTGGAAATATTTGTTTCCTTCTCATCAACCCTGCTCCTGACTCTCTGTACGGAGAATGTTTGTTATTGACAACTGAAATGTGAAACATGGGACTTG